CAAACATAATTGCTGCAGTAAGCTTGTAATCGCTTTTCTTAGAAACTTCATAGCAGATACTTACACAAAAAGCACTCCGATATCCAAAGTCTCAAAAAGATGGCAAATTTTTCATTTCACTAATTTTCCTAAAAATTTTATTACTGTCAAATGCAGAAATCAGATTGGACCAATTTGGTAATTTATTAGAATAGGTTAAAGGTTAGGTTAAGTTAGAACGTGGCCGCACAGTGGGGACCCACTGTGTGGCCACGACGGTGCACATAGGTAAAGTTTGACCGTCTTCCATACTCTGTTGGAAATAAACTCATTTCAATAACAGTCATTAACAACACAAACTAAAATTATAAAAATCACAACACACTATAAAGAGCAAAGTAAGACAGCTACAAATTTATTTATTTAGTATAATGTAATACCATATTAAATTTAATATAGTAAATTGATTTTTGTATATTGTTGACAACAGAATTACCAAAAATGTTCCAAGTTTCAATATTTTTATTTTGGCAAGTGAATGAAATAAACTACAGTAGAGCCTCGAAAACTTGGTACTCCGGATAACTCGGCCACACCTTGGCAGGGCGAAAACAAACTTAGGCGAACTTAACTTTCCCGTTTAAACTTAATCTTTTTATATGGAATGAAAATAGCGCTGATTGACCAATGAGCGCTTCGTAGTCCTATTGGAGGTCCGTGTGATCGTCCGATGATTGACGGCCAATCATCTATTCTCTTTTCAAAACTAACGGTTGTTTCTCGATCCGTATTTCTATGGTGACAACCGTTGCTTGTTTGAAAAAGAGGAAAAGCATGGGAACCATACATCTAAACGATTCCATCACGACAACAGTACTCTGCGATGGCATCTTCTCTTAAAAGAAAACAAGTGAACATGTCTATGGAGCAAAAGTTGCAGGCATTAAAGAGCTGGATAATGGAGAAAGTGTCAGTGCAGTGGCTAAGGACTTGGGAGTCAGCTAGATAATTTTCATTGTAGACAGCTTTATGCTTTTCTGAGGTCTGTCTTATCAGGTAAATTACTGTACACAGTGTATTCATTAATTTTCATTTTCATGTAGTAAAGCCTCTATGCCTTCATAAAGGACGTACTTTTCCTTTGTTTAAGGGTATTTGGGCAGTTTATTCTGTAGTATTCTCAAGTAAACAATACATACAAGTACAGTACAGTATTTTCTGAGGAAACACACATACTTATCCTTTTTTAACACCATTCCCGATAACCTGGCATTTTCACAAACTCGACCACCTTTTGGTGCACATTAAGCAGAGTTTTCGAGGCTCTACTGTATATTGGTATCATGCAGTATGAAAATATTTTCAAGAATACAAAAGACAAAATGGAAGAATAAACTAAGTGGAGTAACTTTTAATCCTTATTCTTTCATTTTCTACTCCAATGTTTTAATATCCTGTAAAACATTTCTCATCAGTTTTGTTTTAATAGAGTTATTGCTAACATAAGCAATATTGAATATTTTTCACATATAAATTTTAAAAATTATAAGTGTATTTGTAAAAAAGAGTATATAATTGAGACAGAGCATTAACAAAGAAAACTTCTATGTGGTTTACAGAATTGTGTTCATTTTCAAAATCTGTTCAATAGATCTTGATTAAAACCTTGCTATTTTCCATTAATTGTGATGAGGAATTCAAAAATGTAATAAAAAATGGGGGTCAATGAGTTCATTTTCAAGATATAAGGTCATTTCACAAATGTGTGTGACAAAGTAATGTCCCAAGACGTTCTCTATGTGGTTTATAGAATTGAGTTCATTCTCAAAATTTGTCAAGCCAATTTTGATAAAGAAGGACTAAAACTTTGCCATTTTCTATTAATTACAATGAAGAATCTAGAAACAAAATAAATGTAAATGTAAAAAACAGGGATCCATGATTTCATTATCAATATAAATGGGGTCAAAGTGACAATGTCAAGGCTCCTTGAACATGCCTAATAAAATTTAGGGTCAAATAAAAAAACAGCATTGCATGCACCTAACAGAAAATAGAGCAAAAAATGAATAGAGTACAAGAACAAAGCAATTAGCATCAACTGCTTTCAGTTTTGGTTTTATTTGTATATAGTAATGTGACACATGGGCAATCTGTCAGTTTCCCATAAAAGACCTATGGTGGCCTTTTATGGAAACTAACCCCCTATTTTGGTTAGATAGAGTTAGATAACCTGATAAATAGGATTTAACAATTTGGAGTGCTTATCACACCAAGGCCGACAGAAAGAAGGACCAGAACTTTTACAAAAAAGTTAGTCTTTAAACTTTTTTGTAAAAGTTCTGGTCTGATTCGATATAATGTGGTCTGCTCAAAGCCTAAAAAAAGCTCAAAATTTACTCTGATTCAAATTATCACGGCTTTTCATTGATTCGTATATAATACGATTATTTACAAACACAAACCAACCAGAAAAGGTGGCAATTCATTGTAGCACTGTACTTCCCTTAAATCTATGTTTGTTTGTGCAATTTTGGAAAAAATATAGCATCATGGATGCCATAGGCAATATTGACTTCGCTTGGCAAGAACTAACTGATAAATGCATGAACAGAGTGTGGAAGAAATTATGGCTGAAAGTATCCAAGAATTCTCAACGAGAAGAGCCTATCGCTGTATTGTTAGGTTGACCAAATTGTCAACCTAATCGATACAGCAAAAGTAGATGTAGACAAGCAGGATATTGAGGAGTTACTGCAAATTTCTGGTGAAAGCCTTACCAACAACAACCTTCAAGAACTGGCAGAACAAGGAATTCATATAGAACTGGAAAATAGTGATTCTGAAAACAAAGAACCCAGAGAATTTCTCTACATATTTCCTTAGTACAAGTTTGGTAAGATAACCAAAATCGCCGATCAAATTGTAGTGAATGATCCAGATTTTGAAAGAAGTGCAAAAGCAAAACGAGGTGTTTTGGATGCAATCTCTTGCTACCGACAAATGCTTAAGGAAAGAAAGAAAAAAAGCAACAAATGAAACTACACAACTTTATCGCAAAAAACAAGAATTTTAGAAAAGCCAGGACGTTCATCACAAAAAATGAACTTTACATTTTTGTATGCATATGTTTGTGTGTTATTTAACATATATTATTTTATGCAAATTAATATAAAAATAACTTAAAGTAAAATTTGTTTATTTTTGGTTGCATGTTCCCCTATTCCTATTTACTCTATGTTAAAATGACCTCATTTAACGCTGTTTCGCTTAGCACTTTGTCGTCTAGGAACGCATCCCCCACTTAAGTGGGGTCTTACTGTATTTGTATTTTTAAATGGTTGCTATATTTTATTTCTTGCCTATGGCTAGCAGTGATCATATATTAAAAGTAAAAAAGGTGACATCTAGGACTATGCTTAGACAAAATGGACAAGCAGGGAATTTAGATGAAAAAGCACCTGGAGTCAGTGCCCATCAATTATGTAACTGAATGATTTTAAGAATTCAATCTCAAAATATTTGTCATATACACATGCCTTTGGGATTAATTTGTTATCTTCACATGGAATGAATCTCCAGCATTTCAAATAATTTTATGGCACCCTTAAAAGTGCCTTTTATTGTCTTTTTGACTACATTATCTGGAATTGCATCCGGGAACAAAGCATCTTGACATGTTTGCTAATGACTAAATAAGTAAAACCTAAATAACTAAATGCCTTAATGATTAAATGCTAGTAACTAAATGCATTAATAAATGCTTATAACTAAATGACTGAAAAATAAAATGCCTTCTACTATTTTCATATTGTAGTAAATCCCAAACATTTGAAACGTTCCTAGTGACCAATGCAGTCATTTCCACTACTTTTCCACTCACAGTCGGTGACCAGATAATCCATTGACTCTGGTAAAACTATTGTATACATTTTTATTACTTTGTTATGGGTTTTCATGCCTGTTTCTATATTGAAACTGTTCAAATTATTGTAGATCTAAATAAATTTATTCTCTTCCTCCATCAACCTTAATTGGTTCCAAAAAGTTTTGACTAGGGCAGGCATGGCCAACATATGGCCTGATCCAGCCTGTCTAATAAATTTATGTGGCCCGCGATAAATTTTTCAATATTAGCTACTGAATTCCAAATAGCTCAATGAAAAATTCCGACGCCTAGGGAAAAAAAAGGTCAATAACCCACTGTGCATTTAGAGTTAACCCTCCATTACAAATCTCGTAAGTACAGCATAGTGTTGATAAAGCATGATAATGTGAGAAATGTATCTGTAATCTCTATCTACAATTCAGTCTCTACGGGGTGACGTCACAATGAGATCTCGCACCATCTCAAAATCTTCCTAGGGCAGCCTCTGGTTCGGCCAGTGGAAAAAGTTTTCTTTCCAATTCAGCCCGGGGGCAAAAACTGTTGGCCACCCCTGGACTAGGGCAATGATGACAAACCTTTTTCTGAAGATGAGTTGAAATTGAATTCAAAATTTATTAACTCCAAATTGTGACTCAATTTATAAGCATTATTTTGTTACTTTTTAATTACTCAAATTAAATATTTGCATTTAATTCAAGTAATTAATTAAAAAATGCTAACAAATTTTACTTTATTCTATATCACAAAAATAACAAACTATAAGTGAAAAGAAAATAATTTTATTATAACAGAAAGCAACTTTTGTTTAAAATTGTGCAATTTCAATTTTATTATTTACGCCATGACCATAGACCAAAATAAGTTTTTTCTTTTTTTATTCCGAAGGTTTCCAAGAATTTCGGGCTTTCGCTCTAATTCGGAAGTTATTTTTTCCGGCAAGATCTAACAAATTTAAGAAATTACCGGGCAAATATTTATACAATTTCATCATATTTGTTCGCCTTATTTAACGATTAACCACCGATTGTACGAATTTTCGGCACGTTACTTAGAAATTCCGTAAAGTTAAAAATTTTTCATAAACAGATAATTAAAAGCGTCTAATATTTAAATGATTGGTTAGAGTACTTACTTGCGCACCGACCACCACAATTTGTGGTAACTGAATGGAGTCTGTACCGATGGTGTTGAATACGTCTTGTAATTTATTAATAACTGGTATTAAGGCTTCCATTTCTTAATTCTCGGACACTACTTATATAAAACGTTAGTCGATTAATTATTTAAATCACGAGAATAAACGAATGCCATAGAAAAAAAAGGGACTGTTAATATTAATCCGGAGCCAACAGTCTACCTCTTCCGCGCCAATCTTCGCCTATCGGACGAACGACGTTGCCGCCCTCTGACGCTAGTTTTATATTATTAATCTCGGTTTTTTTTTTTTTTTAACGAACATTTGACGAGGTAAAAACGCGGAGTGCATTTACCTCGTAAAATATGGCGCTGCCGATAGGAAGATAAAGGAAACTAATTTGCCAATTTTTCCGCCACATGTAAAGATAGAGTATACAACTCTACCTTTACATGAAATCATATAAAATTTTATTCAAAATTTATTTCGGTTTTATGAAAGTACCAGTATCTAGCATGTTTTAAAAAAGTTTTATGCGTCAGGGATAATTTCTGTCCATGCCTTCAAGGTAACAATAAATATTTTATAAAATATTACTTTATTTAAAAACGAGCAATTATTTATTGTGACATCGTCACAATATCGGGCTGCAATTTTTAATCTTATTTTTAAATTTATTTAATTTAGGATATATGCTCTCCACCTCAAATTAGTACTGTAGTGTCTTGCTCCTGTACATCATACTTTTCTGTTAGCAATAGAGTCGTGCCGGCAATCTTTAACTGCTTTCAGGGGAAGTTTTGAATTGAAATAACGTGACTTTCGGTTCGCATCGGAAGTTCATATATCGGGGCCGCCTATCCCTAACGTTTTCATATTGTCTTTCATCTATTTAATTCCGTTCTCGAGAGTAAGGAAAGACGGCCGGAAGGACGCTAGTGGGAATTTATAGGTCTGCAACTTTTACAAATTGCAGTCTGCAAAAACCCCATCAATGAGATTACATAAAGTTTAGATGAATTATTGATATTCCGGGTTTCCCAGAATTTTTTAGGTGGGTCGTCTGGATATGCACCCCCTGCTACACTAAAAAAAGCACACCTATGCCTAATGTTATATTTGCCTTAGTCCAATGTTTCCCGATGCTTCGTTTTTAACATCGTTATCGACTGTAGTATGTTTGGTACATTTCAGAATAACTTCTGATAACAAAACACAGGTTAACGAGAATGATTGTTAATGGATAGTGTTCTATAAGCCGAAAAACTCTTACGTCGGTGATTCTTTCACGCATTGGCGTAACGTATTTCATTTAATCTTAAGGTATATGAGTCAAACCCATTGAAACGAATTTAATGGGACTTAAAAATTTGCACTTTCAATTAACGAAATTTGTATTAACCGAAATGCCTATCATCCGTCGCCCAAGAAATAGTAAATTTACTTCGCATAAACCGATAACGTAATAACGGAGTTTGGTTACAGTGTATTCGCTAATTGTTGTGATCTTACGGGACATTCCAATTTTCAACGCGAGTGTTGAGTGTTGAAGTCAACAATTTGACGTTATCAACGACGTTCCAACTCGAGTGCGAATTGCTTAGTTCCCATAATTCCATTCTCAGCAAGATGGATTCCATTCAAATGTCTTACCAATTACCCACAATTCATTGGAAAGTAGCAGTCAACATATCTGTTGAGTGTTGAGTCAGCGCTGACAACAGCGCTACCTCAACGTTGAAAAAAGGAACGAATTTTAACAAATGTTGAGATCAGCGCTGAGTCAGCGTTGAAAATTGGAATGTCCCGTTAGTTTAATAAAACCAGTGTTTTCTTACATTTAAAACTGCATGAAATTGATACAATACAATTTCTTTCTATTAATTTTATCTTAATTTTCATAAGTTTTATTTAAGTGTATTTATTTAGTTTAATAAACGTGTGACCTCAGGGTCAGCACCACGTTGTTGATGCTACTGTGTCTTTTTCGATTGACACAGAAGCAGCGAAGGCTGCTTATTTTCGTTCGTATTAGATTACGCGAGCGGTCGGATTCGGATGGAGGAGGTTTAAGAGACAGCGTTTAGGAAGGAAAACTGAAAACTTTTCTTTTTTAAAATTCTTTCCGCCCTGTGGTTACTAAGAGGTCTCTTTTTTACAAGTTCATTATGGGTTCGACCAGGCCCACAATAGAGCGGCCAAGTGATGCAGGACGGGGCCAGACATATTCGAACGGACCATCTCCGAAAAATTCCTAGGGAATATTTGACTCATCCGTATTCGAACCCGGGTCCCTCAGAGCGGTAGGCTTGTCAGCTTGCTAGAGCTTTCCTTTCGCCAGGAAGGAAAGCTCTGGTAACAAGTTAATTTTTGATTTTGGTTGCTATGCCTTGACTCTGGTCCGGTATAGTACACAGCCACCGGTATCAACCGCGAATAACCCACTAAACCCAAAATAATAATAATAATAAATACATTCGCTCAGAGAGCCGGAACATTCCAGTTCATTTTGATTCTAAACGGAAAGTAAAAGATAGATACAATCAACGAGCTAGAATTTACTACATAGGGTGCGTTTAGAAATTCTAACCGGTGTTACCGGTAACTGGCGATAGTTACCAAGGCGTTCAGAAAATGTGACCTAAATAACTAACCGCGTTTAGAAATCACTGTTATGACGTCACCGGTTGTCCTGCGGTACTTACCAAAGTTACCCAGGTGTCGAAGCGGTTTTAGCGGTTCAATTAAATTACAAAATGGCAGACACAGTGTATCGTTGTGGAGATTGCGGCCGAGAATTTAAAAGTTTGGATGAAATAAAACAGCATTTTGCTTCGGAACATGTTTTTGCCCCACAAACTGATCAACAAAATTCTCAAAAGCCAATTTCGTCCCAAAATTCAGCTTTAACGGATGGGACAGACGGACAGCATTGTCGTTGGTCAGCAAATGCTGTGAAGTTACTGATATCACTATATAAAGAACATGAAAATAAATTTTCCGATATTTGTTGGCCAAGCAAGAAGGTATGTAAATATTTATTTATTCTTTTTCGAGTAGTTAAAGGAATTACTTATTTATTAGAAGTCCTCACTCATAACGTCTAACACTTAAGGTAAACGCACTGGTAGTGGACACTGCACGAGTAGTGGACACTTTGAACTTCAAATATGAGTATAATAAGGTTGTAGATGGCTTCACATTTCAAACATACAAATCATTCAGTAGACAGAAGTTTTGTCTACTCAATGATTTGTATGTTTGAACAGTGAAGCCATCTACAATCTTATTACTCCTATTTGAAGTTCAAAGTGTCCACTACTCGTGCAGTGTTCACTACCGGTGCGTTTACCTTAATTGTTTAACAATTAATCCATATAGTTTTTCATATAAGATATCGATAAAAGAGAAACATCTCGGTTATTAAAAACATTCTATCAGAACAGTTTAGAGCAGAGAGAAAAATATTAATTTATCATGACCAGTACAACAATATTGCTGGCTAATATCTNCCTTAATTGTTTAACAATTAATCCATATAGTTTTTCATATAAGATATCGATAAAAGAGAAACATCTCGGTTATTAAAAACATTCTATCAGAACAGTTTAGAGCAGAGAGAAAAATATTAATTTATCATGACCAGTACAACAATATTGCTGGCTAATATCTAGTACTGTACAGTACAATAGAGCAATGCAACACAGATAGTCTATGTACATTTCAAGTCTGAAAAGGGATTTTTTTTTTCTTTTTTACAAAGGAATTATTACAGTTTGTCCCCAAATGATAGAGCCATTTTATAGTAGTGACATAATAGAAATAGTAAGCAAAACGTAATATGATAAACCAATAATCAATCCTCTATGTAATAATTATATTAAAAAATATTAAAATGAAGATATAAACCAATCTTGATAATGTTGTACAGGATATACTTGCCCTATAATGATATTCATTTTTACTTCAGCATTTAAATTGCAATTGTTATGAAAAATAGTACACGGGGTGGTATAAAATATAAAATAATAGAGTGAATTTATGTAAGAATGAAAAGTAATGAAAATAGTCATTCTTAAAATATAACTATTTAATTATTAAATTCTGTGTTAATATTAGGAGCTAAAATTTAACACAGAAACTAAAATGAAAAAAATTATAACTGACCTAAAATTTNATAATAGAGTGAATTTATGTAAGAATGAAAAGTAATGAAAATAGTCATTCTTAAAATATAACTATTTAATTATTAAATTCTGTGTTAATATTAGGAGCTAAGATATAAACCAATCTTGATAATGTTGTACAGGATATACTTGCCTTATAATGATATTCATTTTTACTTCAGCATTTAAATTGCAATTGTTATGGAAAATAGTACACTGGGTGGTATAAAATATAAAATAATAGAGTGAATTTATGTAAGAATGAAAAGTAATGAAAATAGTCATTCTTAAAATATAACTATTTAATTATTAAATTCTGTGTTAATATTAGGAGCTAAAATTTAACACAGAAACCAAAATGAAAAAAATTATAACTGACCTAAAATTTATATCTTTCAGGTGTGGAGTTTAATTTCACAAACAATGAATGAAAATAATTACCTTGTCACAGGTAATCAATGTGACGAAAAATGGAGGAATTTAAAAAAAAAACGTATAAGAAAATTAAAGATGGGAACAAACAAACTGGCCGAGGAAGAAGCCAATGGGAATTTTTTTCCATAATGGACGAGATTCTCAGACAGCGGCCAGATATTGAGCCACCTGCTATTTTTGAGAGTTCCTCTTCAACTGTACAGGTTTTGAGTAAGTGATTTGTCTGCATTATACAAGTGATTTGTCTGAATGTCATATTACAATATATAATTATCTTTATGTAGACATGATGGAAAGCAATTCAGAAGATCCAGGAAACATTGGGATTGGGGGATTGAGTCAACATCATCAACTGTCTCTTCTCTTCCCAAATTTCCACAAAAACGTAAGCGCAAACCAGAATGGTTTGGGGAATATAAAGAACTGAAGGAAAAATCCAGAGAAGAAAGAAGACAGCGACATGCTGAATTATTAGAATTAAGGAGGAAACAGCATGAGGACAACATGGAATTCCGCAAAGACCTATTAGGTGTCTTAAAGAGTTTGGTTGAAAAATAAAAATTCTATTAAATGTTAACAAAATCTCTCTTTGCACTATGATTTAAACACAAAAAATTTTTCACCAATTAGATAAGATTCATTTAAAAGAACAGTGGCAATGTATGTATTATTCAAGGCAGCCAACAACAACATTGTTTTATAATTTTTTATTTCAGATTATTAAAAAGTAATTAACAGTAACAAATCAGAATAATCAAATACCAAAATAACAACAACAATATACATCAATAATAACAATAAACATCAATACTGTATGTTGTAAACAGATTTTTACAACATTTGCATTAATATATTTCTTTTATTCTGTGCTCGAGCACATGTACTACTTGAATCTGGTATGGATTCACTAGGGTTGTCATTTTCAATTACAGTTTCATCCTGTAAATCTCCATCATAAAATAAACAAATATTATGTAACACACAGCAGGCCATAATAAACATTGGTATGAGATAAGAGTTGCCCATATCCACGTATCTCAAACGTCTGAAACGTCCTTTCAATAAACCAAAGGCACGTTCCACTGTGTTCCTTGTTCTACTGTGTTTGAGATTAAAATTTAGCTGCTGTGGACTTAAATGTCCGTTATCTCTAAATGGCGTTATTAACTGTTCTTGTAGGGGATATGCAGAGTCACCTAAAAGATGGCATTTTGGTGGAAACATCGTACTCAAACTTCTCCCCAATTTAGAACGTTGAAACACATGAGCATCATGGACACTTCCAACTTCTCCTGCATAGCAGTCTATGAACCTGCACCTAATGATATAGTTAAGTCAATGAAATTAACTTTAAAATCTAAATTTAAACTGAAACAAAAGGAATGATTTACAAACCTAGAATCCACTACAGCTTGGAGTAAGACTGAATGGAAACCTTTTCTGTTTATATATGATTCTGGATGATTTGTTGGTGCCTTGATTGGTATGTGTGATCCATCAATGCAGCCAATCACACCAGGAAATCCACATGCTTTTTTGAACGAAGAAGCATTAGCTTCAAGTTCATCACCTGATGGAAAGCGTATAAACTGTCCAGACAAACTGGAAATTGCCTCCAAAACTTTCTTACATGTGAACCATAATGTGGCTTTTGAAACATTAAAACGATCACTTACAGATCTGAAAGTAAAAATAATATTTATCTATTAACAAAAAACTGGCTTAACAAAGCATTTTTTTGATTCACTTATCAATGGAATGCATGATATCAAGCAAAAAAATGATCTTAAAAATAGAAAAATTAAATATTCTTTCAAAAAAGGTTTTAATGCAATTGTAAAATTTTATGAATCATTTATCAAAGCAAATGTCTCTTAAAATCTAAAATGACGTTAATTTAACATTCTTACTGTTATTGGAACAATCCTACCATAGAATACATCTATTTTTATAACTTAAAAACAAAATTGATTACCTGTACGATTCCGGAGTTACCGTTAGCTACAAGGTCATAAGAATTTGCTTTCTCGGTTCTAATGTCTGACGACCACGACTGCACTTGTTTATGAGTTTTTCCGAAATCTAAAACGATTTATTTTCATTATAGAATATTGTATTAGTTAATAGAACTGAAATAAAATAGTTTATTTTACCTTCCTATTTAAAAACATTAATAATTATTAATGTATTTAAATAGGAAGGTAAAATAAAGGTCAAGCGATAAAACAGAGAAATTAATTCATGACTATTCTGATACCTTGAATTTTACCAAAATTAATATATTTGATAAACTTACCATGTTTTCAACGACATTAAAAGTTTCAGGACTCATTCTAAAATGGCTTTTGAACGTGCGCGGGGAAAATCGCGAAACGATTTCCTCCACGTACCCTTCCACCTTCGGAGTTTTCTCCGATAGACGTTCAACTTCTTTAAGTTCATTTTCATCATCTGATGAACTAGAACTTGCCAAATCTTCATCTTCATATGCTTCCGAATCAATATCCGAGAGTATTTTTAAAATTAATGAAATTATCTCTTCTCGATTCGAACGCACCGCCATGTTTTTCACCACAAAATGACCAGTCCGTTTAGAAATGCGACACTCTCCTGGAATAACCGGATATGACCGATGACGTCAGTCACCACTACCGCTGTATTACCGGTTAGAATTTCCAAACGCGCCCTAAGTGGCCAATACGGCCGATTACCGATTACTTACCGATTAATCGGTGCATCCTTAATAAATACTACTAGTCTGTAGACGCCAACACACGTATACACGGAATATTTTTTCTTTTATTTTGACTTTTCTGAGTTCAGGAGGTCTCAAAACATGGAGATTTGCAGAAACTCTGAGGATCAAATTTGACACGATTTTAATGCTTTCTCTTGTTATGTAGACATTTGCCAGATATCGGTCTTTCACAGTAACATATAGGCTACATAAATCCGAGAAAATAAAATTAAGAATGTTTAGAATTGCATTTAACTTATCTCTACAGAATATTTTGTCTTGCTTAGAATCGTTTAAATAAAGGGTTAAAGAAAGAAATGTTTTATTTACTTTTAAAATTAAAAAAAAAGAAAACTAAGTAGAGTCATTTTGACTCGCACTATCTCAGTTAAGGGTTAAAAATTTTCCTTTCCTTTGCATACTTTTACACAACGAGTTAGAATATTCTATCTCGCTGCCGTTACAGAAAACAAATGCCACGCCCTTTGACTGAAAGGAAAATGGCAGATGTATATTCAATTTTCTTTCAACGTGGCGTCGGCACAGCCACTCTATATAGTAGGCCTATATTCTAGCTCGTTGGATACAACGTTTATGTAATGATTGGACAAAATTATCTTCGGAATTTACATTTTGGATTTTTTATTTTCATTGAAATTATTAAAAATTTTTAAAAATAATATTTTGTTCGACTAATTTGTAAATACAAACTATTTATCTTGACCTGCATCTGTTGGTTCTCGTTCCCCGCGATTCCTATCGAATATTCTAGATAAACAAATTTGAAAAATTCGTGTGAAAATTCATATTTTTTCGATATAATTTGTACTTTATCACACGCGATAAAGGATATTTCTAATTAAATTATTCTTTATCGCGTCAGGCGAGTTAACTTCTCTTCGTTTCTTTCGGCACTCGAGAATCGAGAAGTCACCCCGTGTTAAATTTAAACGTAGCTTTCCGTCCCTTCTAGCACCATGACCGTGGTATTACCCGTGTTGATATTGGGAATGATACTTGGAAGAACGATCGATCTGAGAACACATCACACCACTCGTTTCATCTTGACCGGAAAAAATCAAGAACCTCAATATGTAAGAAACTTCCTTCGATTTTGTTAAAGCATAGTCTACGTCGCTTAACAGAAACGTTTCCGCACTTTCAGACGATGATCAATCACTTCGAGTCAAGGTACCAAGTGATCGAATCATCCCGAGATGTCTGCGATCTGTTTGACGTCGATCCTAGACTTGCTCTGATCGTGAAACTGGATCACTTCAGTAACGATTTGGCCAATCGGATTCGATCTTCCGTCGTTTCTCGAGACACAGTGGTAGAAATTCAAGTCCGAGCAGTGTACAAGAAGGTAAAAAATACTTAAACAGCTTAAATAAAAGAAATATTTAAGTTTTATACAGTAGAGCGTCGATTTTCCGAATCAATTGGGGACTGGGGTTGTTCGTATAACTGATATTTCGGATAACCGATTTATGTACGAAAAAATAGTTTAATGTATCCTATGTTGAAATTTTTCTCCGTTGCGTGTCGCTTCGCGTTGAATTTTCGTCGATGTTAAGCCTAACAAAGACTATTGTATCGTTAAAAATCATTTTTTTAATTTTGTACAAACAAAATAAATATATTAAAAATATAAAAATAATAAAAAATTATACTTCAGATGTTAATTTAGTATCAAAAACGTAAAATATTTGAGTAGCCCAAGATATAGTCAAAGATTGAAGCGCCACAGCACTGGCGAAAATTTAAATTTGCCGACTGGAATTCTTTCGGATGATTGACTTTCGGAAAATCGACGCTCTACTGTATATACGTTTCTAAAATGTAAAGTATTCAAAACAAGGAGATAGAATCGCTGACGGAGGATTTCCGACCCGAAGCGGAATGGAATAATCGGAAAGACCTGGGCACCCACTTCATTTCGAAACTGAGAAGAGGAGGGGAGTTGTGGGCCACTTTGATATTTAGCTGCGACTCTCCGGATCACAAAGACATAGTTTCGAAAAGCGTTTCCAAGGTTTTAGGAAAGTCGGGAACTTTTGACGTCTTTTTCCTAGGTGAGTATCATAACTTTCTCTTTAGAATCGTATGATAATCGCAAGGCGATGATTTGGGCAGTTTGTAATTTTTGACAATAAATAAATCCTTAATGCATTATGTGAGATTTGCCGACTGGGTGTGTTTGTAGGATCGTCGCGCGGCCACAACTATCATGTGGGAGTGAAATACTCTCAGAGACAAGCTTTCCATCTTTTAATGAATGAAAATTTAGAAGTTGTAAAAACGCACGTTATGCACACGGTGATGTAAGTGTCATCTCGAATTTCTTTCGAATGATAGCGGGCATTCTAATTTTTTCGTGGCTACTTTGAATATTCTATCGGCAAGACAATGTATTTTATGGTTAAATTTTCAGTTCGGACCCTTCTTTTTATCTTTGTTTTTTGTTTTTGTTTTTTTTTGGTCTCTAAAAACGCATATTTTAAAATCATAGATCACTCTGTCACCATACTATTGATAGTACGGGCGCCGCCATCTGTTTCGTTCTTTCAATGTCGTTCCCAAATGCCTACAAACAGGGGCGCCGCTAGCAGTTTGAACACCCGTGTGCAATACCGATTATGCCGCCCCCTGTTTAACTACGATTACCTACGCTGAGCTTGCCAGAAAGGCTCTTTAGTGTTGTCTCATAAGGGTGTGAAAAAAGAAAAGAAATACCTTACAAAGAAAATCTATTTATTATTACTAAGTTATTTTTGTTTACTTAAGTGTAAAACCATATAAATATTTATCTATAGAATTTGAACTTCTCTTGCCTTTGCGAAATCTGCTATCAATTTTCATGTATCCAAGCAGTGTAAGATTTCATGTTCAATTGAAAATATAGATAAATTACTTAATCTTTGCTGGTGCGTTGTTAGTCTTAAATAGTTTTTTTTATAATTTTAACTTTGAAAAGGACCTTTCACCAAATGAACCTGAAACCGGCAATGTAAGTAATATTCTTAGTGCTATTGCTATGTTCGGAAATGTTGAAATTAAGTCATTAGTAAAAAGATATTGTAATAAGGTTTGTGGATCATTAGACTTGTTTTCTGGAAAATGCAACTTTAAAATATTGATTTCATTAAACAAACCAATACCGTCAATGTCTGTTTCACTACTCGAATCGTCTTTAAGCTTCAGATTTAAATTCTAACCAAGTTAAAATATCATTAATTATACTTAGACCCATGTCATAAGAATTATTAACAAAATAATTGCAATTTGATATGCGATAGAACTATTCGAATGCATACAAGTACAAATTGAGAAGGATGCTCTGTGGGGATTCCCTAATTTCGCCAGTCCTGTCAACTTCTGTCATAGAGCACGACTATGCGTACTTGGTTTTCGGATGGTTCAACCTGCCGACTGACGTTTCGCATTGCATCTTAATTCTGATAAATGCCAATAGAGGCGCTGTTAACGCTATAATACAGGCTAAATAAGAATATTGTAATTGCACTCAGGTCGGATTTTTTTCTCTTTGCGAAGACATTTCTTATGCTATAAGTAGGGTGGGTATTGGGACAATGACTTTGAATATTACGTGACCGATCGCTCGATTTGCCGCCCCCCTGGACGTGCCGCCCGCGTGCGGTGCACGCCTTGCACGCCCGCTTACGGCGGCCCTGCCTACAAACGCCCACTATTACAGTTAATTTTCGGTCGAAGTTAAAAAATAAACTAAACTAATTATATTCTCATATTTTATATAAAAATTTTATTGAAAATTTTTTAATGTTAATTTTAATTCTATGATAATTATTTTAAAAACTCTCTGAATTTTAATTTATCCGCATAAAATTGACCGAAAAATTATTAGGGTAATGTTTATTTGCGTCTGCTAGAACTGTGTCGTGTTCAAACTTCATCGTACTGTATTTCTGCTTCCTTTACTTTTTATGTATATTAAATAAATCATATTTTTACTTTCCCGGCTCTGTTATATATGTGTCGCTCACTTGCCAAATCTTACTTGACAAACTCTATAAAACAAAAAGTGGAGAAAAGTGACAAAATAATATCCATACTTTTTTAAAATTCTTTTTAAGGCTCCTTCAGACACACGTTATATATATAGGCCTACATATATTATATTTTATTAGAGAAACTAGGCGTACCCCACTTTGTAAACCACTGGCCCAGATCATATTAATTCCAATTTTTTTTTTTTTTTTTTACCGACAACTACACATTGTAAGAAAGAGTATTATAATCATATCGAATTTTGAATGTTTAGATTTCGATAGACAAACACAAACGTAATCTCTGCAATACGTTTTCGCTATTTTTATGATGATGCCTATATGAGCGCACGTGTATCTCAAGTTTTACTAAACGGATTGATACGAAATTTCATATTTAACCTTTTTTCATCGATACCTCGATTTGATCAACTTTTAGTATTGATTAGACAACCGAAATTGACAATTTACTAGTGGCGTTTTCTATATTTTCAATATATGCAACTCTTTAGACTTAACCAATCGCGTTCAAATTTCGCAAGTAAACGCTTTCTAACGAGGAATAATATACCAAAAATGTTTAAAATCAAATGATAGTTATGAATTTTAAAAATATATAATAATATCACGAATACACAAACAAAATTTTTTATTTTCGTTTTCCTCGTTTCTACACTCCAAAAATATAATCTAGTGGTCAGTTAGTTGATGGCCACATAAGTTTATTTCTATTTATTAAATGTGAAAATATTCCTTGATTTTTCATTATATTTGTAAGTTAATTTTATTACTCTCTGTCATTATAATTTGTAATTAACATAAATTTTGAAAAAGGCTATAGAATGCGAGAGAATATTTTTTAATACTATATTTACTTTCTGATCACGTAATAAAAATGATTGTAATTTAACTTGTGTCTTTCAAAGTCAAAGTTTTTCTAATATAAATTATAAATTTATATTTCTTCTTTAGATAAAATAAATGAATTAAAGAAGGACTTGGGGAAGCATTACCGAGAATACAGAGTGAAGGAAGTACGGTGCCCTCTTTGCACTCCAGATTCTCCTCCGTCTGATCTCCAGGATCTGATAAAAACAACCGAAAAATTGTCTGAAACGGTGGAATCGATAAAAGGAGACGTGGTCGAAATTGAAGTAGAAGATCTTGCGACCGTCTTAAACGTTCCTACTTACCTAGAAAATAAGTGAGTCTATACTCTTCTAAATCAGTAAAAACTGCGCAAACTGCGATTTTTGTAATTACAGCAGAGGAGTTAGAGGCGTAACCTTTTTCCTGGATCGTAAATCGATAAGTTACATTTTAAAGTAGGCGAACCGTCGACATTAAATTCGACTGTTTTAAAATAGCCGACATTTAATCTTTAGGGTTTATTTGACCCGAAATAAACTTGGAAAAGACACAATTAAAACAGAACAAAAATATTTTACAATTTAAAGTCGTTATATGGAGTCTTTCTAGTTTAAACTGTAGACTTTGTAGCTTCATTCGATAGAAAATTTATGCGAAAAATAGGATTAGTAGGATTATTTAATTTCAACACTACTGCCTTTACTGGAACTAATCCTAAATGCACTTTATTTTCGTACTTTACCTTTTTATACCAGATGAATACGTATTATTATTTGTACAGGTGTCCCTCGTATAACACGGTAGTTAAGTTCCGAAAAAGTGTCGTGTTATGCTAATCCATGCTATACGAAACAAAGGACTAATGCAAAACATAGGGTTACGTTCCAGAAGTTAGAAAAAGTAGCCTATACTATTCTTTTTCGTTACTAAGAGAAGTGTGCTTATTAAAGCAATTGATAACTTATTTCCAATCAATAATTAACTAAAAATTACAGTTAAAAGTAGACTACTGTATCACACGTTAATATTAATTTTAGTTAAACGAGAGCGTTTTCTTTTTACAAAGTATTGTCATCTCTGCTTTTTTGTTGATCTTGATCTGAAGTATCAGCAACATTTAATTATTTTTATTTTTATCATAAAAAAATGTTTATGAATGACGAAATAAAAATATGTTATTAATTGAAAATTTGTTCTAGCGGGTCGCGTTTGTTCAGTCGAATACGAAATGATTTTTTTCCAGAATTTGCGTTCGAATACCGAATTGTTCGATACCGCTGTTTTACGAATGTTTAATTACCTTCAGTTAAAAAAAGTTTAATAACACTTACCTAAAAATGTTTAAATAAACTTTACTAAATACGAAGATTAATCTATAAAACGAAAACACAGTGACAGTCATAAGGGCTAAAGTCTAAAATCAACGATAACGACACTTGGTTGATAGGAAAGTTAGTGCAATTTTTTTTTCTTCCTTATCCTATCTGTTTTCATTAAAGTAAACCCGAAGAAAAGCACAAAACAATTTGAAAATTTCAATATTTTAAAATCCATGGACAAATTTGAGACCACAGGCGTGCTTACTTGAATAAAGAGAAAAAAATATATAATATAACAAAGTTTACACTTAAAAATTTTTAAATTTTGTACGGAGGATTTCCAAACCCGTGTTAGAACTAAAGCGTGTTGTAGAAGTACCGTGTTGTACAAGGGATACCTGTATATTATTATTACACACACACATATATATATATAGTATATTGTTTTGTTTACATATTATTGTTGCATTTCACTCCCAAAATCGACTGGATTTTTGCTTTCCCCGTTTGTTATAACCTAACACGGAAAGGTGTTGTAATCGTCTTAAATTTTTACTTTCTTATTACTTTCCTGGCTGTTTTAATGTAGCATGGATTACATTTCTGATTGTTATAATATAATATTGTGTCACGTTTGATCCTCTGGATTCTTGGAACCGTGTTTTGACACTTTTTAACCCCAAAAAGACAAAAAACTCGAAATGAGTAAATTAATCAATCTTTGTGCGTGCGTGCGTGCGTGCGTGCGTGCGTGCGTGCGTGTTGGCGTCTATTTTATTTCATTTAATATCTCAGGATTAGGTAATGGTGAAGAAACGAAATTTGGCATGGTAGCTTGTGTATAAGGGTCATTGATGCTATTAAATTTTAGTATTTAATGGTCGAGGGGTGGAGAGATAGAGATGAATCATGTATCATATCTCGAGAGAGGTCGAACTTAATGACAATTTTACTCGTTATTGGGCATCAATTTGAAAAACTTGTAGATCTATAACTTCCCACTGTCGTCCGTCTGTCATTCCTTAATCTTGAGAGTGGAGTTGGATAGATGAAATTCGATACCAGATCTGAAATTCTTAGTGAATGAAGGCCCCGATTAACTATATGTGAACTTCCAATAGAAACCGAAAGTCAGGTTATTTTAATTCAAAAATTTTCTGCTGAAAGGTGTTAGATAGATGATAGGCACGACTTCGTTGTTAAAGGAAAAGTATGATGTACAGGGACAAGTTACCATGCCAAATTTGATTAAAAATGCAGCCCAGCATTGTGACGATGTCACAATAAATAATTGCTTGTTAGTATTTACAATTTTTTTTTGTTTTTTTTTATAAAACTAATCTCTATCCTCAAAATTAAGCTTTTTGCCATTTCATAACAATTAATAATATAAATAAGTTTTTGTAACAAAATCTCATAACAGATGTGCCGCACGCTATTTCATTAATTAATGTAAAAGTTATGTTTTTAATAAGAATCTCATAACAGCCAGGAAAGTTACGTAATTCATTGTGGATGTTTTTTCTGTAAGGTTTCTTTAGTGATTTAATCTCTCCAAATAAACATTTTATATCTTTTTAGTTTTTAACAAGATTACTTCCAGCAATTCTAGTTCTCTACTCGACAGTCTCTTCATTAAAATTTTTCATTTTACTTTCCTTTCTGTTATATATACATAACAATGGAAAGTATTGGATCGTCTCAGATTTGATCCTCCGGATTGTTTGAAAATTGCCACATTTGAGACCTCTTGAACCCAAGAAGTAAAAGAAAAACAGAAAAAATTCCGTGGATGTGTGCGTATGTTTCATTTAATATCTTAGAATGAAGGAATGAAGAAACGAAATTCGGTATAGTAGCTTGTGTATATTGGAAATTGATGATATTAAATTTTGGTGGTCGATGTAATGAGGAGATAAAGAGGTGTCATTTGTCACATCTCGAGAGTGATTGCATTTAATGAAAATGTTATTCTTTATTACAGTTTTTTACGAAACTCATTACTACCCTCAAAATTAAGGCTTTTGCCATTTTATAATAATTAGAGATATAAAAAGTTTTTGTAAACAAAATCTCATAACAAATGGTGCCATACGCAATTTTATCTATTATAATTAAAAATATACCGTAAAAGGTTATTTTTTAACCTTTACGCAAGTTACACAACTCGTTGTTGAATTTTAATAAAGATAATTAACGAATCGTTAGCATTAAACCAAGCAAAACAACTCAATACGCGCATCAGCTAGAATATAGTCATAAACACAGGGAGGAACAGAGAGGTATAAGTTAGGAACAGAGAGGTATAAGTTAGAAGATGATAGTACGGGTCACTGTAAGCAAAAATTTTTATATGAAAATGGATATTATTCTTAGTAGTTTTGGAGATAAATGTTTGAAAGTTGCTCACATAGCCCTAAATAGCCCTAAATCACATTTCATTCACAACAAATGTTTAGAATTTGAACAATGAACCTCAATACATTTTACGGCTTGTGATTTTCGTTCCTTTGAGTTAATCCGCAATGCTTCTGAAGATGATGTGATGAAACAAAATTTGAGTCGCATCACATCATCTCTAGAAACAGATATTAGTCATCCAGATAGCGATAGGGATGTAAACAAAGCAATGTAAAGTCCGATTGTAAAGTTGAGATTGACGATTCAAGTTTTGAGCATTTCTTGTAAACATAACATGTGTATAACTCATTATTATTGAGTATGGAAAATGAATCGTCTGAAAGAGTAATATAGGCTACATGTAGCAGAAAAGTTTGTTTTACAAAATAACTGTATAAGGATCATAAAAATGTTCTTTCAGAAACCAGACCTCACATAAAATTACATTTGCAAAATTTCTTTTGGTTCTGAATTTGTTAACTAACGAACAAACTTCTTTTGTACTTTTGGTGCATTGTAATTTATTGTAGATTGATTTTAGCCCAAAACGGCTTTTTTGTTTTTTTTAAACAAAGATTTATAGCTTTTGTTTAATTTAAATATTCTTTTAACAAATCTTTAGTCTTATTTTTACGGAATAATCCCAAAGACCGATTTTTTCTTTTCTTTAATCACAAACACTGCACATTAAACCATTGTTTGTTAAAATGATTTATAAAGTTGGTCATTTTACACATCCCATATTGAGCTGCTGAAGTTAGTAAAGTTTCCGAGAATTCCCTGTAAAAATCCTGAACATCCAATAAAAATCTTGTCTTTAATGATTTATATAATGAAATAACTAGTGAAATATATGTTTCAAGGTCCTGTTTTCATATATAACGGTTCTTAAATTTTCGTTTAATCGATTTTGGTCGATCTTTTTTGTATTAAAATTAAGAATCATTGAGATAGGAAAATGTCCAGAGCTAAATATACCTATTACCTGCTTATATAGGTAAATACGGATTGATTGATACACGTATAGGCTATATAAGTTTACTTGTGAGTATATGTTGGAATATTTTATTTAAATTATTGAGCGAAAAACAAATGATTCCTTTCAGAGTAATAATCGACAGATTGGAAAATATAGAGAAAATGTTCGACGACGTTCTCATTGCCAGAGAGCTATTCATTCAGTGGGACACCGTCTGGTCTATGGATTTGACTCCTGAAGACGAAAAGCAAGTAAGTCCAATTATCCCTTGTGGGAAATTCCTTAATTTATACGAAATTAACAAAGAAATTCTTGGGCGGTCATCTTGAAGAACAAAATCATAAGATATGCCTTTCAGTTTCTTTTTAAAAATAAATTGAAAAAGACTAAAAAATGTCGCCAGCGCACAGATAATCATTTTTTTTTTTATGGCGTAGCGTTAAAATCATGAGGACAATGAGCGTCGAGGAGTGGTTCAATGAATCGTTTCTGTCTATCGCGAAAGTCGGTTGAGGAATCAAGCCGTTAAGAATGATTGTCTTGCTAATTTTGCCGTTCTTAAGCATCAAACTTTTAGTCTCGTCCAATTAAATGAAACACGGTTCAGTTCGAACTCGTTTCCTTAATTTTTGAAATGAATTAATTGCATTTGTTTAATTTCAGCTGAACGACTTTCATTTGGAGGTAGAAAGAGCCAGGAAAGAGTTTCTTCATGCTATCGGTCATTTGGACATTTCTCCCTCCTCTTCCCTTAGTCAGTTCGATGGTGTTTATAAAGCTTACGGATCGACCGAAGCCAACGATCGATTTCAAAAGGAATTTCGCTTGTTACGTCAGAAATTCCAAAAGGAAAAAATGTATTAATTACATGAATCTTTTCTCTTTAATTTGATGTAATAAATATCATCGCTTTAATTTTTTTTATCTTATCGATTAATAAGGTAAAGAGACTTCGATAAGCCATGATCTTTTTCCGACTTCTACTATCAAAGTCTTTATAAATTTCGGTCTGTCACTACAATTTATGTCGCGCTTCATTCTCACATTTTTACACAAAATGACCGTGAATCGTATGGAGAAAACGAAGTGTACGTTACGCCCAATTATTTTTAGATAAATAATTATCAGTAAAAATTAGAGATGTTAAGAGAAATAGATTTTTGAAAATAAGAAATTCGTAAACAAAAGACGCGTTATTCTGGAATGGCCAGGGTGAGGAAGCAATGAATATAGTCCCTTTATCTTAGTTTCGATGTGTAAAAGCAAACGATCTTTGTACGATTTTTAAATAGTTTTATCAATTAAAGTGGAATTTAATTTAATATAACGTTTTTGGCAAGAAGACGAAAACAATATAGAATAAGAATACAAATTAAATTCAGGTAAATACTTCCTCGTTATCATTTCTATTTGAGTTTGGCTTTTTTATTTAACTCTTTCCGTCCTGTGTGTACTAAGACGGCCACCTTTTTTGTAAGTTTCGTTATGGGTGATGAGGGACTGGAACCGGCGTATCGGGACAGACTACCACCCCGAAAAATTCCTGGGGTTTTTGACCCTTGCAGATTTCATCGCAACGAAATCTGCAAGATGGCATGACATTCACTGCTTATCAGAATGGGTGGGCTCTTTTTCTGCCGATATTTAATGCCCGTTTTTTCCTTATGCGTTTTAACAATATTTGACTGGTGACACTGGAAATTTTGATCAAGCTGCTAATTGAAATCAAGAATGGTTTTTGACAGATTTTACGAGGAGCTTGATGTTCTTTTTTATCACAATATTTATTAGCTTTCCGTCCAGATCCTTGGGTTCTTGTGGGTATAAGACATTTTCTCATCTTCGAATAATCTTATATATTCGACGTTTCCCTGTGAAGATAAAAAAGCCATTGTAAGTCATTTTTTCAATAACTTAAATGACTTACAATGGCTTTTTTGCCTTTGCTCCATTTATCTTCACAGGGAAGTGAAGAATTTGCAATGTATTACTTTCTCGAATAAGTCCACTGTTTTAGGTAAGAAACGAAAAGCATCAATAAACTTGCTGTTATCATATCAATAACTCTTCCAAATATTCCTTGTATCGGGAAGAACCTCTCATTCCCTGAAAATTCTCTGATAAATGTCGTTTATAAACAAAATTAAATTGTTAAAAATCTATGAACATCTAATGTTTGTTTAGTTATGTCAAAGCAACACTTGGGCGATCTGCCTAGGGGATGCCTTCCGGGAGGTCTTTTTAAGGGAAACTGGCCCCTATTTAGGCGTTACAGACGTGGAGAAAACCTGGAAAATCTCCACGTGGCTAGCCCGTCCGAGCGAGGAGTGAACCCACGACCGAACTCCTAGTGTTCAGGGTGCAAAGACCGCTTAACCACTGATGGACTCTTGAACATCGAATGCACGAAACAATTATTTTCCGAAAAATAATAAACATGAATTAGGAAGAATATGTATAGAATGTCTGGAATGTTCTCGATTACGGTTAGATTAAGGTGAACAATTAAAAGCTTACAGATGTTTCATAAATAAGTTAATATAATTAAATTTTCTTCTTTTTTTTCTATTTTTTTTCGGTTTAAACCACGGAATGACGGCAAAGCCAAAATTAAATCTTTCAGATCTTCCGTAACAATTTTGACTGAAGCAATTTCAATTTAAATATTATACGTATTTTTTAATTAGGCCTATACATTTTATTCTAAGCACATTTCTCCACCTGCCAACTACCCAACTGGATCAGGCCCACCAATCCTTTTATTTGGAGAAGATTTTTTAAAATCTATTACGAAAACGTTAAACTAATAAAAACTGTAAATAAATTAAAAATACCATCGCCAGCAATAAAATTTCGCCCAATAAAACAAAACATTCGGTATTTGTGAGAAGTAATCGCTAAATTTCTCTTATAAACCAGCATTTTATAATAAATTCCGTTATAATAAATTCCGCCACAACCTTCGGAAAAAGTTGTTTCGGAAAAAGTGGTAAAATTAATTATTTCTGTTAATATTTTCATTAATGTGTATGTACACATTAATGAAAATATTAACAGAAATAATTAATTTTACCAACAATTCGAAAGAAAATAGAATATTTTCGTCGTATTATATTATATCGAAACATTTTTATTTCAATTAATTTTTCTCTAAAATTTATTCTGTGAATTATTGATTTCGGATGTTATTTTGCCTGCCATTGAACTGGAAAGACATTACTGATATACAATTGAGAGTATTGGGGAAAGTACAAGTAGAATAGCGTCGTCCTTTGCTTTGGAAATTTACTGAAACAAGCTCGTTGCTTTGGGCAACGAGTTTATTCGACAAGTTATTATTATTTTCTTGATTTCGAGTTTACTGTAAAAGGAATTTTCGCGCTATAACAAAGCGTTTCAAGTGTTTAATTTTTCGATAAATAGTGAAAACATTTCTATAAACACGCAATTAAATTAGGATAGTTTCATCAAATTACGAGTAAACAATTTAATATATTTAACTATCGAATTATGTTCTACCAGAATTTCAATTCTAGTTATAGAATATTTTGAATATGAATTGCAGGAAACCAAAATAATCATCGTAAATAAATCAATTTATATTTAATTAATTAAAATTTATTCAATAGTTTCATTTTTCTTTTATATTCAATAAAATCGTGCAATCATTTCTCTTTATCGTAAATAATTTTCATCACTATTTTGCACTTGATAACGAACTTCAGTTATTATCGATCTCTTTTTAACACTAAAAGATCATGCAATATTTTGAGTGTTACTAGTACAGTGGTGCCTCGTATAACGTACGCCTCGTATAACGTACGCCTCGAATAACGGACGCTGCGAATAACGGATTTTCTGTTTGACCGCTACGTGACTCGAGCAACGGACTGGCTGCGGACAACGGACTTTTCGTTCGGCAGTTACGTGAGGCGACCAGTGGACTTTCTACGAACAAGTGCGAATGATGTTTCCACTCTTTTGCCGTTGGCAATGACAATCTGCTATTTTTATGATATATTAGTATTATTAGAATCAGCGGCGGCCTTATTCATTGCGAGGCTCTGGGCGGCAGATCTTTGCGAGGCCCTTGTCCTTTGTGCAAAGTATGTGAATTAAAATAGTAGGCACTTATTAATATTAATATATACTGTACTATAAATTAAATTTATTTTATTGTTATAACTAATAGCCAAGGATAAAATAAAAAGTTTTAAATATCAACTTTTTTCTACTTGGTTGTTGCGCGAGGCCCCTCCAAGAGCGAGGCCCCGGGCGATTGCCCTGCTCGCCACCCCCTAAGGCCGCCACTG